AGAGAGAGAGAGAGAGAGAGAGAGAGAGAGAGAGAGAGAGAGAGAGAGAGAGAGAGAGAGAGAGAGAGAGAGACAGAGAGACAGAGATACAGAAAGACGGAGGAGACAGACAGAAGAGATGGGATGTGGGCCGGACGGCCCCACGAAGGGAGAAGGCGGGGGAATCATTTTTGGCAGGTTCGTGCATGGAAGCCGTCTTGCAACCAAAGCTTCCAGGGGCCGGACGGCCCTAAGAAGGAAGAAGGGGGGGAATCATGCTTCAAATCTCGTGCATGGCAGCCGTCTTCAAGCCAAGCTGCCAGGAACTTTGGGCTAGGTCAAGATGCAGGGCGATGATGAAATTGTCGTCCAGGCCTATGCAAAGCTGCTTCACGCCAAGGTTCCAGGCAAAGTCGCGAGGTCCTTGGTCGTGATGTGGCGGAGAGGTTACCTAGACCAGCTGGAGATTCTTGGCATGAACACATATACATATACATATATATATCTACATATATATACTTATACATATGCCGTATATAGACTATGTATTTAATTTTTTACTTATATAGAGCTAAGGGATGTCGACAAGGAAGTGGGCTTCCTGAACTTTTTGGAGTACCTCATGTACAAGATCGAGAATGATATGGACATCGACCCCGAGCGCTGGCCGGAGGCGACGAAGCACATGAAGATGAAGGAGCACGGGTACATCCGCTTGTTGCTCAACGATGCGTCATTGATCGCTCTCCAAGCAAACCCAGGCCCCTTGAGCGGAATGACGAAGCCTCAACTACTTTCGGAAGCAGTGCGGGTGGGGCTTAAGGTACACCAGTCCTGGAGCGACCAGGAGTTGCGGGCGAGGATCATGGAGCACGTGGACGCTACATTTTTTTGAAATTGAGCCGCCCGTGCGCCAGGTCCGAGGATCTGACCAGTGCCAGGCGGCTGGGCGGTGAGCTCCAGGACAAGCCTCAAGTTTCCAAGATTCAAGGGGTCGTTTGTTAGAAGCGGCTTAATTCAAGTGCTAATCCAGGGCAGGCTACTGCCAGGGTATAATTCAAGACGAGATCGATCAAGCCCTGCTTGACATGCAAAATTGTCTTGGCGAGAAGAGGACCTGAGCTGAAGTTTTTTTTCATAGTACGCTGCATGCTTCAGGCAGGCCTAGCAAGGTCCTGGGCTTCAAGCTCCAGGCAGGTCTGTCGGGTTTAAGTGCTGCAGGCCGCCAGGCAAGTCCTCAGGTTCTTAGAGCCATGGGCAGCCCCGCAGCTGCTGGCCGCGGCGGCGAACGCAACGTCGCCAAGCCGGAGGTGGACCAGGAGCACTTGCTGGACGTGTTCAAGAAACACGTCAAGCTCCTAGGTGTCCAGGCCGCCTTCAACTTCGACCCCTACGGCAACCTAGCCAAGACGAGTGCGGTCCAGGCCAAAGGGCTTTCAAAGGCGACGGTTTTGCTCAAGAAACTCCAGGAGGTGGAGAGCGGCTTGGCTTTCAAGTACAAGGACTTGAAGGAGTGCTTGGCCAAGGTCAGCAAAGACTCCCCGGACCTCATCCACCAGGCCCCGCTGAGCAAGCAAACTGCTTGGGCTGGGGACACGGCCGAGATGCTGCTGACCGTCATGGCTCATGCTCGCCGCTTGTGCAACGACACCAGGTTCAAGGAGGCTTGCAGCAAGGCGACCCAGTTCGAGATCAAGGATCTCGAGGAACTCAGGGCGCTGCTTCTTCCAGAAGTGTCGGCCTCACCAGCCAAGCTCCGGCAGGCGGAGACCCACAACACCAAGCGGCCGAGCACAGGGACGCCAAGCCCTGCGACCAAGCCGCCAAAGCTACGGTCGTTAGCCCCTGCGAGCAGTCCGCTTCGAACGATTCGGACCAGGGATCTGGAGCTTCCAGACACTCCCAAGACCGCCAAGACGAGTTTGAGCCAGGAAGCCGAAGGCAGTCCCGTGCCAGGCAGCAAGGCTCGAATCAGGAAGTCTTGGGAGGGCGAGGTTTTGAAGAAACCAGCTGCAGCAGCTAAGCCTGTGAAAAAGGACAGTGACAAGCCGAAGAAGAAGCCGGCCTCTAATCTTAACATTAGAAAAAAATTTTTGTTGTTCGTAAGCATATATTTCTATCTAGGAAGATGTATTTAAGTGAAGCCCTGAATGTTTAAGCTCCATCATCAGGCCCCCAAGGACAAGGACAAGCCCGAGTTGACGGAGGCTGAAAGGGGCAAGCTGCAGATCATGCACTACCACGACAGTGTCGCATTGAGAGTCGACGGTTCTAGGCAGCTTTTCCAGATCGTGTGCAGGAAGCATGGTCGGGATAAGGCCAAGCTTCAGGTTGCCAAGATGAAGAAGAAGCTCGCCGAGGGCGGCTCTTTGGCAGAGGCCTTCAAGGAGAAGGCTAAGTTTTTGGAGTCCTAGTTTCAAGTCTTTTAGTGTTCCAAGCCAGGGCTGGAAGCCCGGTGGCCTCGACTGCATAAGCCAGTATGCATGAGGGAAAAACACATCGACCCTCCAGCTGCATGAGCCTGCAAGTAAAGTTTCAAGGGCTGGACAGCCCTTTTCGGCGGCAAATGCTCCCAAGCGAGATCGATCTTCGGCCGCTGCAGCTCCCAAGCTAAAGAAGCAGCTTTAGGAGTTACTTAGTCAGGCAGCCAAGGAGCTGCCAAGTCAAGCCGGTCCAAGCCATGGCCGGCCAGCAGCCTCGAGGGCGGCCAGGAGGACCCATCCCCCAGATGGGAAAGGGCCCCCAGCGAAACAGTCAGCCAGGCGGCACCGGACACTTGCACGCATGTAACAAAGTTTTGCATTTGTTTTAAGGATTTAACGAAACAGTTGATGTCTATGTTTGAAAGCACTCAGACTCAAGCGCCTGGCGAGAGAACTGGAGGGCGCTTTACAACCAGTACAAGGACGAGGCCGGCCTTGGAGTAACAAGCAAAAGTTTATACATATATATATATATATCTAACAATATAAATAAAAAAATTTGTACATATATATTTGATTTTTATATGTTTGTGTCCCTTGTTGCGGTCCCTATCTAAGCCCCCATCCCCTAAAACTATATACTTAATGAAAACCCCTGCGGCCAGGGCGAGACCTTCGGCCACTGGCAAAACGATGTGGTGCGACACCTTAGCCTCAAGTTCGACACCCAGATGCCCCAGGACCAGTCGATCAGGTTGTTCATTAACCGGGTATTTGAGCAATCAGGAACAATCGAGTCGATCGACGACTGGCTGGAGGTACAGTTGGATGAAATGAGCATAAAAAGGAGCAGCCAGGAGCCCCAGGATCCCCGCTCATCCAGGAGCCAGCAATCCCAGGAGGTCCACATTAATTGGACCTCCAATGGGCAGGATGAGCAGGGTCGACCCTGCTCACCCTGGAGGCGGCCACAGCCACTGCCTGCACCTCCTAAGGGCCTCCAGCTCCAGGGCACGACGTCGCCACCTCCCAAGCAGCCGCCGGCGAAAGCACCTGCCCAGGAGCAGCTTGACTGAATTTACTTGACCTTTTAATCTTCAAAACCTTTAGCTGTCTTCAAGCCGTCAAGGGCTGGAAGCCTATTGAAGCCGTCAAGGGCTGGAAGCCCTATTGAAGCCGTCCAGGGCTGGAAGCCCTATTGAAGCCGTCAAGGGCTGGAAGCCCTATTGAAGCCGTCAAGGGCTGGAAGCCCTATTGAAGCCGTCAAGGGCTGGAAGCCCTATTGAAGCCGTCAAGGGCTGGAAGCCCTATTGAAGCCGTCAAGAGCTGGAAGCCCTATTGAAGCTGTCAGGGGCTGGAAGCCCTATTGAAGCTGGCAGGGGCTGGAAGCCCTTTTAGCTGGAAGCACCCCCAAGTAGCAGTGGAAACACCCAAAATTAGCCCTTAAGTTTGAGTCATGATCTCAGGCCCGCTCCGCCCGCTACCCCGGCGACCTCAGTCCCAGCCACCACAGCAGAAGGCGACCTTCCAGGCTTGAATTATCCAAAGTCATGTATAAGCCACATGTAAAACGATTTTTGAAAACCCGTAAGCTTTCTTTGAAATCTCGGCAGCTTGCAGGGGGTCAAGCTGAGACGGAGGATCCCGCTGCCCTCGAGTTCTTGGAAGCCGAACTTGCCAAGCTCCAGGAGACCAGGCTCGAGGTGGCCCACGAGATCTACAGGCGCAACCGCGAGGTCGGATCTTTAAAACATAATTATCATCTACTCTTTAAGCAAAGATTTTATTGTAAAAAAACCTATTATACTGTTTCCTTCTATTCTGAATTATAGGAATATACGATTTCCAAGGCCCAGCTCCAGGACGAGCAGGAAAACGAAAGGCAGGCCACAGAGACGGAATTCCAAGAATTCCAAGAGTCAATGGAAGAAGTCAAGGCGAACTCTGATGCCGAATGGGAGGAAAAAATGATAAAGGAGGTGGAGGAGAGGAGGGCCAAGAGGTCGAAGACGAGGAGTGACGACCTAAGCAGAACGCTGGTAGTCAAGCGCCAAGACCTCGACAGAGAGCTCTCCAAGCTCCAGGAAGCACACATCTCCAGGTACGACCGGGACGTGAGGGACCAGTTGTCCAGGTTGAAGTTGGAAGTCTGGAAGTCCAAGGACCAGGACTTCACGACCAGGCTGGAGATGGAGACCGAGAAGCTCCTCAAGCTTCTTCCACGCACTGAAGACATGCTGGAAGCTATGGACAACCTCAGGTCTCAAGTCGGTCTTCCCAAGTCCGACCGGTCCCAAGGTCCCCAGAGCCATGATCTTTTGGGTCTTGGCCAGGACCAAGTCGACCCGCCCCAGGGAAGCCACCAAAAGCCCACCAGCAGCCACCAACACAACCCGGAGCAGACCACTGAGCAGCCCCCAGGCCCAGCAGACGGTACTGACAACACCGGCCAAGGGGATGGCCAAGGGGATGGCCAAGGGGATGGCCAAGAGGATGGCCAAGGGGATGGCCAAGCGGATGGCCAGAACCAGCAGGGGTGGACCAACTCCGGGAACCAAGGTGGCAACCAAGGCGGCTACCAAGGCGGCAACCAGGGCGGCAACCAGGGCG